ACAGGGAACACTCAAGCACAGAGCCCACAGCCTCGACCACACACACAGGGAACACTCAAGCACAGAGCCCACAGCCTCGACCACACACACAGGGAGGTATCGACCGAGATAGATGCTACTCAGTTGCCAGCAACGGGGTGCGCCGTACTCGAACTCAGGTTCTAGAGGTGCCCCAGTCCCTATATATAAAGCAATGTGATCGGACCGTTCCACTAGGTTTCACACTTACAACATCAGGTTGCTCAATATGAAGCCATTTGCAGCCAGATTTTGTCAGCCATTGTGTACGATGCGGGTTTGACCTTGCCATATGCTCTGCTGCAGAGACAGCACGTTTGCACATCCAACACAACCATGGATGATCCCTCCTTGCTCCCTGCCACATGAGAGTAAAGATTTTACATCAAGAACACAAAACGGAGGGGGGAGGAAAGCAAAATGAGTATGACAAGTGACTATTGTCTTTCAGGTACACACAAGACACATACCTTTATATTTTTCAGAAATTGATTGCAAACAGGCGCAAGCTTTGTGGGCATTGGGAAAAGGAAACATGAGAAGGAATGACAAATGCTACATGGGTGGATGATCACTTTACAATTCTAATTAATGTTAGTGGGCTTCTTTCAAAAATAAATTTGAAGAAAACATCTCTGGAATATTGAAGAGACGATACTGTGGGAAGTTTGGAAGGTGAGATGTGTGCTATAACACTAGGAAAGAAATCAAAATCGATGGAGCAAACACGGCAGGAGGCAGGCAACATAATGGAAACAGAAAGATGTCATCAGAAGCAGCTGCTGGCAGCTACAGAATAGAAACCAGATAAAATTCAGAGATTGGACGAGTTTCACAAGGAATGATTGGGTCAGGAGAAGATCGCAGAAATTAAATCACCAGTATATCTGAGCGTCTTTTGTACGAGGGGGATTCCCCTTGCACACCAAGCCAGTGCAGCGCTTTTTCTTTTTCTTTTGGTTGGTGCTGCAAGTCCTGAGCCTCCGAAATTCTTGGAGTGGCTCGATTTCGATTCTCAAGTTTGCCAGGGTGATGTACTGACGGTTTGAGGGTAAGACGCGGTTTTTCAAATGGTGTGGGTTAAGGGATAATGGAGGTCTGGGTCTCGGGTCGTATCTTCAGTGCATTCCAAGGAGTGATGCAGTTCTTTAGAGAATGGGCTGAACGCGATGCATTTAATAGTATGAGGCACTTCGGTCGAGTTGGGAGATGGGGGGTGGTTGTCATGTTCGAGTTTTCCTTTTAGCTTGAGGCTGGGATTTATCCTGTTGCTCTGGCGACTCCTTTCTAGTAGGCGTTGACGAGGAAATGGGGACGGGTAAGATTTCAGTATTTCTATTTAGTGAGCTTTAATAGTTTATGGAAAAGGAACCAGCGGTCCAGGCAACAGCCAGCCCTCCGTTGAAAGGAATAATCTATACTGATAGTAGGGGTCCCTTGGCCACAACAAATCTATACTGGCAGTAGGGGTCCCTTGGCCACAACAAATGTAAGCATCGATGTGTCTACTCTTAAGCCGCCAGTACCCTTCCCAGCTATGGGCCGCGGGCCCTACATGCTGAGTTTCAGCGGCGCATCTGGCCGCCATCGGAGGCCGAGTGCGGCCTCCGTGTTAACTGCCGCGTCTCGGCATTTTGGCGCGGAAAGGTACTGGTGGTTTAATATTTGGTTTTTATGCGCCGCCGGTGGACGAAGAATGAGCACTGAAGTTGATAGCTGCGACAAATCACCAGTACTTGGCCCATACCTCGGCAGTAGGCCCTTGATGTTAACGGGCAGCAGGGCTTCGGGGCTACATCACAATGGCTGGCAGCGCCGGCCAGAAGAAAAGAAAATGTCGCACTAGCGGTTTGACAAAGCTTGGCGCGGAGGGCGTTTTGAGGCTCGGAAGAAAGTGGCCCCGAAGTACTGGTGATTTAAACCGCCAGTACACCCGGGCCTGCAGGCCCCTTGCTGTGCACCAAGGTTTTCCGAACCGGCAGCGGTGCACTTTTTTTCTCTTTCAGCTGGCCATCGTGGTCCGGCAGGCCGAGCTTCCGAAACTTTTGGAGGCTATGACTTTCTTTTTCAGCAAGGCTGGGGGCGTATACTGGCGGTTTAAGGAAGTGATTTCCACCTTCTCGTATGGAGGAGGCATGATTAGACACCAGTTGTCTTTTCTAGTCAACAGTGAACTACCATTTGATATGATTCTGGGTAGCCAAACACCCTGATTGAGTCAGATTTGAAAACCCTGCTCTGTCGTATTTCAGGCGAGGGAAAGAGGAATCCTATGAATGCTTGTATGCTGCAAACGTTATGAATTACTCTAGGCAAAATATGGAGCAGGGTATGTACCTAATGTTTGTATCTCCAAATGGGCAAGCCGTAAATACCCCACAGGAGATAGGCAGTTGTCGCTCAATATTCAGCCTTCTCTGAATAATCAAGAAGGGCCATAGACAGCGAGACAATCCATGTTAAAAATATTGTCTTATGGAGTGAAATTCAAAAGGGCAGGATCTACAGGATGTCCCTTGCATAATTACATGAGCTTAGAAGACGGGTCAAGAAACTGACAGAGGAGGGCTAGATTACCTTGCCTTATGGGTCTCCTGTTTTAATCATACCTAAGAAGGGAGAGACACGAAGGATGTGCATTGATTATAGGGGTCTCAAATGTCATCAATGTGCTACCTCGCATCGATAACCTCTTGGACAGAGTGCACGGATATACCTACGTCGGCAAGATAGATTTGAAGTCCTTGCACCATCAAATACAAATAGCACCCATGGATTGGCACAAAACTGCATTTTAGATCAGATATGGCCTGTACGACTTTGTGGTGATGCCTTGTGGGCTTTGTAATGCTCCTGGTTTATTCCACCATGATACGAACAACGTCTTCGAAAACTACTTGGATAAGTTTGTTGTTGTCTATCTCAATGATATTATGATCTTTAGTAAGACTTTAGAGGAACATGTTGAGCAGTTGTGTATAATCATTGACCTCCAAGGACAAAAACAAAGAGAAGAGTGAGATTGAGTGTGCAAAGGTCTTGTAGTTGGGTCATAAGACCTTTGAGCAAGGTTCTAGACCGAAGGATGCGACAGTAGTGGCCATTAGGGATTGGCCGAGCCGAATTACAGACCATTTGTAGAAAATTACAATAGCCTATCCCGTGACTAATCTAACAGATTCTAACTTGACTAAATCCCCTTGGAACTGGGACAATGCATGTGAAAAGAACTTTGAAAAACTGAAGTATGCCTTAATCAATCACTTGGTCCTAAAGATTGCAGAACCTTATAAGCCTTTCATTGTTACCAATGATGCCAGCCAGCACAGGATAGGTGAAACGGTATTCACCAGTTCGCAGTAGCGAATGCAGATCCCAGGGCTCGATCCCTAGTTCCCCGTCTTACCTGTGTACAGTACCAGTGTCAACCCGTAGATTTGAACCTGCGACCTGTAGGGCCGCCAGTGGTAGGTAGGTTTTCGTAGGTCACAGGGTAGAAAAGAATCGAACTGTAGACCTGTAGGGTAGGAGTCTAGACAGTTCCGAGGTCGTAGTTGTAGGATGTCTGAAGGGTCAAGGTCGTAGCTGCTCCTTACCTGAAGGGGCAAAGTCGTAGCTGCTACAGTACCGAAAGGCCAAGTTAGAGGTTTCTAGAAGTGGCCTTTCGGAGTGAGCCTGCATTGAACAGAGGCAAGTGGTCAAGTGGGGGTAGGCCACCTCGCTGAGTYAAYAGTCCYAGTTAGKCAGTCCGGTCCTGTCCAGCAAGTACCGTCTGSSACTGTGTGCACCAGGGGCCAAGGGACACAAGGCAGACCAACGCWGCGCAGAAGTATAAATCAAGAGGCTRCGTCCARCCATTATTCRTTCCTGMGGAAGCCACRCGGAAGCGCTGCCTCAGCAGCTTGTGCGAGGAGGTCTGCAGAAGGCCCGAAGACGAAGTGGGCGAGAGTGACGTACTGTAGCCATAGCGATAGGTAGCGGCAGCCATCGCTGCCATAGCTTAGTGTAGAGTGCAGAGTGTGTGTGCTGAGTGTGTGTGCAGAGTGATGTGGACATCCAGGGGGATCCAGAGTGTGAGCAGCGAGGTGTTTGGGCGCACAGCCGCCATAGCCAATTACAAGAGAACTCTTATCTGGTTACGATATCTCTGAGTACAGTGTGGGCGCATGTCGCCAGTTTGCTGTTCTGCTGTTCACGTGCATGAAAAGTGTGAATAAGTCGAGTCTGATTGCACTGGTATCGGAGCTGGTACCCGGTGTTCCGCGCGCGCCGTCGTGTGCAGGGCCGATGCGCCATAGCTGAAGTGGCCGCTGGAGAAGGCGGTCCGCCATAGCGGACCTCGAGGTGGAAGAAGCCGCCGCGCACCTGCAACAAGAAGACCACGACGAAGAAGAAGATCGAGAGAGAGAGAGAGAGAGATTAGAGATACAAGATTGGGTTCTTACCTGCTGCGCTGACGATACCGCTACGGCGGAAGAGAGAGAGAGAGAGAGAGAGAGAGAGAGAGAGAGAGAGAGAGAGAGAGAGAGAGAGAGAGAGAG